AGGATGGAATCCAGACCTCACATGCAGAAAAGTGTGTACTCTACCACTGGACTACACCCCCCAAAAGATAGCTATCAAGGAGAAAATTCAACAGGAAGTGGCATTTTGATAGAAAGGAAGAAGAAAAAAACTCCTCGTTTTTTCCCATAAAGGACAGCACTTTATTTGTAGTAAACATATATTAGGGATGAAGCATGGCATTCTCATGCAACATCATCTCAAGATTTTACTTTACAAAAGACATTATTTGGGGGAACTGAAGCAATAGGTCCGGGGTTAAGTCACTACTTGCCTTGCATGCGGATGACCTGGGTTAGATCACCAGCCCTACAAATGATCACCAGCACTGCCAGAAGTATCCTTGAGCACAGAGCCAGGAGTAAACCCTGAAGGCTACTGGGCATGATCAAAAAACAAACAAACAAGCAAAAAAGATAATATATGGGTGAGGGGTTGGGCAAGAGTACTGGGGTTAGGTCACATGTGTTGCATGGCATTCACCCTGGGACCCAGGTTCAATCCCCAGCACCAAAAGCCATGCCAAGAATAGCCAAATATGGCCTCAGTGGCCCCCTTACATTACCAGAGTAGTCCTAGCAGTACCTGGCACAGCAAGGTCCTCAAGGTGCCTAATCCTCAGACCCTTGCATCAAACAACTGACCTGATAGGCCACAGACTGGCCAGAAGTCATCCTCGAATCCCATGAGTACAACTTGGGTGCCCTCCTCCCTCCGCAAAAAAAAAAAAAAAAATTGAGTACTTTATTAAAGGAACTTAGGGTTGGAGTGATAGCACAGCGGTAGGGCGTTTGCCTTGCACGCAGCCAACATGGCCGACCCGAGTTCGATTCCTCCTCCCCTCTCGGAGAGCCCGGAAAGCTACCGAGAGTATCTCACCCACAGGCAGAGCCTGGCAAGCTCCCCGTGACGTATTCGATATGCCAAACACAGTAACAACAAAGAACAAAGTCTCCAAGTCTCCAATGGAGATGTTAGTGGGCTCACTAGAGCAAATTGATGAACAACGGGAGGACAGTGATTAAAGGAATTTGATACAAAAAGGGAGATGAACCAGAGAGAGTATAAGGATTAAGGTTTGCCTCGCACGTAGCAGACCTAGGGTCAATCCTTTGCGCCACAAATGGTTCCCATCTGTCATTGTGCGTCATGTGGTTCATCATCAGGGGTGATTCCTCAGCACAGAGCCAGGAGTGAGCCCTGAGCATAACCAGGCATATCCCAGAAACAGACTCCAAAAAGAGACACAGCCAGACCCTCAATAAGTTGGGCTGTTTCTGTATTTAACTTTCTAAAAATAATCTGTGGCAGTGACTTGTTATAGTGCTTACATTCTTAACACAAATTCTAAAGCGATTTTCTTTTAAAGCTGAGATTCAACAAATGTCGAGCTCTAGGCACTGAGAACATGAATTTTTCTTTTCTTCCCAACTCTGAGTACTAGTACTGAAACAAAAACAAGCAGAAAAAGCAAATCTGAAGTGCACAATGGATGTGAAGATTGTAGCGGGGACCGTGAGACGTGAGTTAAAACGTAAAACTACAGCTCTCAGTCTTATTAAACAAATGCAAGCTTGGGACAAGTGTTTAACTGAGCGATGCCTCAGCGTAGAGTAGTTCTATCTCATGTTTTTTCCTATTTAAATCTTAACAGAAATACCTGATGGTTAAACAGACAATAACAGGATTATATTTCTGGTTTGTATCATTCTTGTGTTTGGAACTGGTAAGCTCTTCTTAAAATCAAACCCCCTAAATTTCGATTTTTGAGCACTGGCATTATCGACTTTTTGGTCACATTCTAATGGATTTTCGGGGTCTGGAGAGCAAGTTCAGTGGGTAGGGCACTTGCCTTGCATCCAGGTTTGATCCCTGGTCTTCCCATATGGTCCTCCCAAAACCACTAGGAGTGACCCAGGAGTAAGCCTTGAGCATAAACATGTGTGGCCCACCCCCCAAAAAAATGGGGTTTTATTAATCATACAACAAAAAGATGTTTTTTAAAGAACAGTTTATGTTGTTACCCATAAACCCAATACTTTTAAATTTTCAAACGGATTTTTTACACATTTTTATATGATTTTTCAAGATGCAGTAGCAATCACAGAGTACTGAACATCTACTATGAACTTGTATGGGCTCTTTATACAGTTTCTTTTTAGTTACTTTTAAACTCTGCCCTTCCCCCAACAACCCTGGAAGGTATTGTCAGTCCTATTTTACAGATGGGAAAACTGAGAAGATGAGACATGCTGCGAGCCAAGAGAATTTTCAACACCACATAGTTATTTAGAGTAAATCCCAGAATAAAACTTCTGGTTATTTGAATGGCTAATTTATTCTCTCGAGAATCTTTAATTTTGCACAAAGTTCTCGCCCTCTAGGGTCATATGCTAAATTCTTCATCGTGCAACATGACAATTCTTACAATACCACAACTAAAGCTTTCAAGCAACCAGAGACTCCAAAAAAACGTCAAGGGTGCAATAAAATATCTGATCAATCAGTGAAATGAAAAGTGAAGTAACATCTCAGATGAACGGTGAGAAGGCTCTCTAAGAAGCCTTTGCCACAATAAACCACCCTGAGCACTGACACTCGAACCTGATTGAGTGAAATTCTCCCCCCAAAAAAGGGAAAATTATCACAAGTTGAGGTTAACCTAGAAACTCACAAAGAAATGCTGGGTGGGTGAGGGGAGGCCCTTCTCTTTTTCTTTTTCAATTGTGCTCTAGCTATTTTGTGTGTGTGTGTGGTGAGGGGTAGCTAGGCAGCTCTCGCACCTAATTGCCACATTCAGATCTGCAGCTCAAGGAGGACTGAGCTCCCCAATTCTGAGACCCCAAGGACCAGGACCCACCATCCCCAACCATCTGATGAAGCCAGATCACAATCCCAGCCACTTTGCAAAACTCAGCCTGTGAGCAGGCTAAAAAGATGGGCGTGGTTTGCGAGAGAAGCAGGCAAACTTGAGAGCCTACAATGAAATGCTCATGCAGTGTCCTAACTTCCTAAAAGCTCTCCTCTGCCCTCCTCGTCGTCGTCGGACAGCCAAGGGAATAACCAGGCAGCTGACAGCACCCAGAAAGCTTCCTCTTACAAATTACAGATTGCCAAGGAGGCTGAAATCCGCTCTGAGGCTGTTTTCTAAGACCTGCAGGGCTTTTTGAGGGGCTGCCTCTCTCTCTTTCTCTCTTTCTCTCTCTCTTTCTCTCTCTTGTAAAACGCTCCACTACACAAGGAATGTGCACTGAGGCTGGGGACTGGTCGAGGAAGAAACACGACGTCACTTTTGGCTTGGGCGCAGCTCGCTCGCCATGCAAAGCCCTCCCGGTGTCTTAAGAGCACACCTAATGATGGATATTGGTACTCAGGAAAGAGAACGACTTCTGACCTTGAGCGTGCGCGCTAAATAAATTACCTCGGAACGAAAGTGGTGAGACCTCAGAACGGCATCTGGGGAGAGAAGAGAGAAGAGGGTGGGGGTCAAAACTGAGACTTCAACACCACTTGGCACGTCATCTCTGCTTTCCTGGGGGACTGAGACTGATGGGGTGGCCACGACGCACGCGCTTCGAATGGAGTGGGGACATCCCGGGGGATCGGGAGGTTACTAGGCCAACGGTCTTGGGTGCACCCTCCGCGCGAAGTTTCAGGGAAAGTTCTGGGGGGGAGTCGGGGAGCCCTGAACCCTCCGAGCCTGGCTTTCTGGGCCCTAGGCTCCAGCAGAGGGTCGGTGGAGGGCGGCTGCCGCAGCCCCGACTGCCCTCCAACCACCCTGACCCGCTTTGGCCAAGTGGCACCAAGAATTCGGCGCGCCCGGCTCCCCACCCAGCGCCGCCTGGCATCGCCGCCAGGAGCGCGGCCCGGGGGAGACCGGAGGAAGCGGGTGGACGCGGGAATCCACCCATCCGTTGCCCAGAGGGCGAGCGAGGGGCCTTCCCTCGCGGACCCCAAGGTGCCGGCGGGCAGCGGGCATCGCGGGGGGCCAGGGACCTCCGCAGCGCAGCGCGGCGCGGCGCAGCGCGGGGCAGCGCGGCGCGGCGCGGCGCGGCGGGCAGGGCGCTCCGGGTGGAGGCGGGCGCCGCCCCGGCCGCGCGCCCCGCGCCTTACCTCGGCTCCGGGAGCGGCCCGAGAGGACCGAGCGCATCGGATGCCTGCCCTTCTGGAGCTTTCGGTGCCAGCAGCAGAAGAAGACGAGGGTGGCGATGGTGCCCAGCAGGAGCAGCAAGAGGAAGAGCGCGCACTGGATGCTGTAGGGTCGCAGCAGCACGAGGAACGCGGCGGCGATCATGGTGCGGGCCGGGCGCGGGGGGCCGGGGGGCGGCCCGGGCCGGGGGGCGGCGCTGCGGGGACCCGCCGGGGCGCGCGGCGGCGTGGGCGGCTCAGCGCGTCCCGCCCGCGCGCGCCGCGCTCAGGCCCCGGCTCGGGAGCTGCGGGCAGCGCGGCCCGTGACTCAGCGCGCGGCGGCCGGCCGGGGCTGGGCGGCGGGGCGCCTCCCTCCTCCTCCTCCTCCTCCTCCTCCTCGTCCTCCTCCTCCTCCTCCTCCCCGGCGGGGCGCCCCCGCCCCCGGCCGTGCGCAGACCCCGGGCGCCGGGAGGAGGAGCGGCCGCGCCGGGCGGGCCCCGCGCATCTCTGGGCGGCCGCCGCCGGCCGGGGCATCCCCGGCGCGGCGCGCACGTGGCTCGGGGCGGGGACGCGGCGCGGGGGGCGCGAGGGGGCCCGGCGGGTGACATCACGGCCCGGCGGCGCGGCGCGGGGGGCGGAGGGGCCCCGGCGGGTGACATCACGGGCGCGCGGACATGGATGCGGCGGCGGCGGCGGCGGCGGGGGCCGCCGGCTGCGCCCGGGCCTGAGCGCCCCGCGCGCGCCCCTGCACCGTCCGGCCCACCGCCCGGGGGGTCCCGCATTGCTCGGGAGCGAGCGGGCGTCCGGGGGGCGCCCAGTGAGCCCCGGGTGCACCCCCACCCACCCACCCACCTCCCCATCCTCCCACCACCTCCCCGCGCCCCGCCCCGAGCTCGGGGCTTTGGAAGATGCTGCCGGGTGAGCGCTCTGCTGCGGGCGGGAGGAGGGTCCCCGCCCCCCGGAGATCGGGGGTCCCCCGCTCCCCCACGCCCTGCTCGCTCCAAAGGGGAGCCACCCCGCAGCGGGACCGCCCGGCGTGGACTGTCTGGCCCCCCCCCCCCCCCCACCCCATCTCCTCCGTCCCGAGCCCGGTGCGATTCGGCCGCCGCCGAGGCACCCGCGGGTGCTTGCGATCCCCTCGCGGCCAGGCGTGTCCCATCACTCGTGGACTCGTTCCATCTGGTCCCAAGGGCGAGGCGGCGGTGGCAGATTGGGGGAGGGGGAAGACGGACAGACGGAGGAGGTTGGGGGCCGGCGTGCAACGGTTTCGGAGGAGAGAGGGAGGTTGGCGGGGGGGGGGGGGGGGTGGTATTGATAAGCTCTCACGCCCGCCCCCCGGCCGCCCTCGCGCCCCCTCCGATTTCTCGGCAACCCGCAGGGAAGTCCCCAGCAGTGGCTGGCGGGGGGCGGGTCTGCGCCCCCCGCGTCCCCGAGCCGCCGCCGCTGCGGCCGGTCTGCGGCATCCCGCGGCCCAGGCCCACCCGCGCGGTACCGCGGTGCGCGGAGCCCCGGTCGGTGCTGGGTTGGGCTGTCGGGGGCTGTGTTTGCTGGGGTTGATTGACTCGCATGCGTGAAACTGCAGTAACAGTAACGAGGTAACAATGTTACTGCATTTCTCGAGTTTCTTCTAAATGACTACTAAAATGGACCCTGGAATATTTCAGAGGTGGAAGAAATTGCATGGTTTGCAGAAGGTTGCTTGGGTTTTTGGACTGGGTTTTTTTTTTTATATATATATATACATATCTATTCTGAAAATCAGTTCATAGTTGGCTACATTGCTTAGGTTTTGCTGTGGATTTGCAGGATCCCGAAATCAGTGTCGTTTTCTCCAGCTGGACCAAAATCCGTGGCACCGCTGCTCTGCGTAAAAGCTTAACCATTGAAGCTCTGAGGGCTTTCTCGTGCGCCGGCTGATGCGTAAGCATCAAAGCATCTTGCCTCCTGCGTTCCTTAAAGCCCAAAGGCATAAGCACGGCTTCCAGATGAATCCAAAGAGCAGGCTGGTGTTCCTTAGGCACGACTTGCTTCTTGAAACACAGAAACACTCGTGAGAGTGGCATGTGTCGCGGCTTTAGGTGGTATGGCCCCCGGGACGGAGGATGTAACGGGGAGGGATCTTGAGATGCTCAAGGGATGCTGACTGGGAGCGCGCCAGGGCTCTGCAAGCCAGCATGGGCGAGGCTGACAGGTAGCACTGCGTCACGTGCTCCGTGCTCAAGGTTTTCTTGGTACCGCAGCCCACTGCGGTAAGAGACTATTTCTGTTCCTTGTGGGTTATGGAAGAGAATCCTAAGGACCCACAAGGCGTGTGAGAGCAGGAAAGGGGGAATTCTTTCCCACCTTGGGTTCACAGTGGGCTGGTAGAGATTTAAAGCCACTAAGCAACGAGAAAAAAAAATCATCGGATTTAGAAAGGTCCTCTTTACCTTATATATCTTGACTAAAATGTGTGAGTGAGCCAAAATGACCTAGATATCCTTGAAATGTGTCTATTAGCACAGACTTTGCTTGGTAGCCAATTTGCGGCGCATGTTTTGTGACTAACACCCCCCGAAAAGCAACTAAATAGCAATTATGATATTCCAAACTGTTTCTTTGGCTCCCTTGCTATCAGCCCAAGTCTTTGCCGCAGCTATTTGTAAGATTCCAGTGCAGAGAAGAACCACATTTATCCTTCTCTTGGCAGGCAAATACTTAACTGCCATGTAATAGGCTCATGCATTTTCTTTTTTAGACATTCGTTTGTTTTTTTTTTTTTTGCATCACTTATCTGAAGGAGACAAATAACAAACAAGCCAAATCATGAAAGGAATCTAACCTTTAGATTCTTTTGTTATTTTCTGATTTGTTAGTTTAATAGTTATATTAATTATTTAACTACAGTCCAGTCACGGTCACGGTCCTCCCATTGTTCACCGATTTGCTCGGGTGGGCCCAGTAACATCTCCATCGTGAGACCTCTTGTTACTGGAGCTGGAGCGATAGCACAGTGGGTAGGGCGTTTGCCTTGCACGCAGCCAACATTGCCAACCAGGGTTTGATTCCCAGCATCCCATATGGTCCCCCGAGCACTGCCAGGAGTGATTCCTGAGTGCATGAGCCAGGAGTAACCCCTGAGCATTGCCGGGTGTGACCCAAAAAGCAAAAAAAAAAAAAAAAAAGACTTGTTGTTAATGTGTTTGGCATATTGAATACATCACAGGTAAATCAGAATTAACTGGCATGCTGCTAATGGTCATTTCTGTGTTTATGTAATGCCCAATGCACTGCAAATCTAATAAATATTAAATCAGTTGATTATTCCTTTATGGAAGTTTAGGGCATTTGCCTTGCATGCGGCCAGCCCGGCTGACCCGAGTTCGATTCCTCCGCCCCTTTTGGAGAGCCCGGCAAGCTACCGAGAGTATCTCGCCCCCACGGCAAAGCCTGGCAAGCTCCCCATGAGGTATTCAATATGCCAAACACAGTAACAACAAGTCTCATGATGGAGATGTTACTGGGCCCACTGGAGCAAATCGATGAACAACGGGAGGACAGTGCTACGGTATTTAGTTGAACTCATACCTCTCCCTACTCAGTTTTTATTAAAAAGGAATAATTGAGACCTTATAAAAGTCACGGTAGCCCGGCAAGCTACCGAGTGTATTCAATATGCCAGACACAGTAACAACAAAGTCTCCAATGGAGACGTTACTGGGCCCGCTCGAGCAAATCGACGATCAACGGGAGGGCCTTTACCTTTACCTTATAAAAGTCACAGAAGATTTAAGTTTTATAGTGGAGATATAGAAAGAAGGCGAAATCTTTATCAAAAAATGAAATTTTGGGGCTGGAGCAATAGCACAGCGGGTCGGGCGTTTGCCTTGCAAGCGGCCGACCCAGGTTCGATTCCCAGCATCCCATATGGTCCCCTGAGCACTGCCAGGAGTAACTCCTGAGCGCAGAGCCAGGAGTAACCCCTGTGCATCGCCGGGTGTGACCCAAGAAGCAAAAAAAAAAAAAAGAAAAAAAGAGAAATGAAATTTTGGAGTCAGGGAGACAGCGTAAGGGTTCGGGGGCTTATGTCTTGCATGCCCAAGCACCCAAATTAGAAGCTCAACCCTGTATGTCACTGCCGCAAGCGTTGAGCTGGGCCTGAGATTGAACTATCCATCCTAGCTGGCCAAGTATTCCTGGGAGTGGCTGTGCTTAAAAGCCTCCCCTGAAAAAATAAATAAATAAATGTAGAATATGTAATTTTTTAAAAATTTGTGATAGTCCTACACTGTCATTCAAAAGAAAATAAATGAGTTGGGCTGGACAAAACAGTTGAGACTTGTCAAGTACATTGATGAGGGGTAGAAAGATAGTACAGTGGGCAGGGTGCTTGCCTTGCATGCGTACAACCCAGGTCCGATCCCCAGCATCCCGTATGGTCCCCTGAGCACTGCCAGGTGTGGTTCCTGAGTGCAGAGCCAGGAGTAACCCCTGAGCATCACTGTGTGTGGTCCTCAAAAAAGCAAACAAACAAAATAATTTAAAGTAAATTGATGAGGCGTCATGTTGCTCTTCCTCCCTTGAATTCTCAAACAAATTGAGTATATATACACTGTCACTGTCCTCCCAGTGTTCATCGATTCACTCGGGCCCAGTAATGTCTCCATCATGAGACTTGTTGTTACTGTGTTTGGCATATCGAATACGTCACAGGGAGCTTGCCAGGCTCTGCCATGCGGGTGGGATACTCTCGGTAGCTTGACGGGCTCTCCGAGAGGGGCGGAGGAGTCGAATTCGGGTCAGCCATGTTGTCCACTTGCAAGGCAAATGCCTTACCCACTGTGCTATCACTCCAGCCCAAGTATACATACAAAAAAGGAAACAAAAGGAAATATATTCATTTTACTCAGAGGAAAAAGTCAGGCTAAAGAACATGGCATTGCTCTAAGGCCAAATACCCCCTTTTTTCTTTTTCTTTTTATTTATTTATTTATTTATTTATTATTAGTGAAACACCATGAGGTACTGTTGTAGATTTACAATTTTTTGTGCTTGGGTTTCGATTATACAATGATCAGATACCCAACCCTCCACCAGTGCCCGTTTTCCACCACCATGGATAATATCCCCCCCACCCCCATCCCCCCATCCCCCCCTGCCTCTGTGGCAGGGCAATCCCCTGTGTTCTCTCTCTCCTTTTGGGTGTTGTGGTCTGCAAAAGAGGCATTGAGTGGCAAACATGTTCAGTCCATAGTCTACTTTCGACATGCATCTCCCCTCCTGGGAGGATCCTCCAAACACCCTTTCTTTGGTGCTCCCTTCTCTATCTGAGCTGCCCTTTCCTCTAGGATACCCGGCTGGCCTCTAAGCTATGGAGTAATCCTCCTGGCACTGATCTCAGATATTCTTGGGTATTAATCTCCTATTTTATTACTTTATATCCCCCAGATGAATGCAATCTTTCTATGTCTATCCCTCTCTTTCTGACTCATTTCGCTTAGCATGATACTTTCCATGTAGTACCACTTGTATGTAAATTTCATGACTTCATCTTTTCTAACAGCTACATAGTACTCCATTGTGTAGATGTCCCAAAGTTTCTTTAACCAGTCATCTGTTCTTGGGCACTCCGGTTTCTTCCAGTTTCTGGCTATTGTAAAGAGTGCTGCAATGAACAAACAAGTGCAGATGTCACTTCGACTATACTTTTTTGCCTCTCTGGGATATATTCCCAGGAGTAAATATCCCCTTTTTTCTTACTCAGCATGCCCACCTACATTTAGAACAGTAAGGTAATGCATCATAAACTACTTCTTGCTTGGATATCAGAGGTTAAACATAGCTTGACACATTTCAGTCCATGAAATGAGCAAGAAGCAGGAACATGTATGAAATGGGACCATAAATATATCAGAATTGACCACTAGTAGCCTTTAGGC